GAAAAATAGTTAAATATTTAAAAAAGCAGAATGGATACAGGGCTAAAACATCCAGGTTGTGCTTCTAAATGGTTTTAACTTTACCAAACTAATAAGTACTGGGCTGTTAATTGTATGCATACAATTGAAACAACATTTAAAGAAGTTTAAAATCTAATTCCAATATTTGGTAGATGACAGCTGGCATTGATAAAGGGCCACAGGGCAGCTCACCTGACAGGCCAGTTCTGGCATGTTTGAAGGTCAAAGAGCTAAACCACTGACATTACAGACAGACAATATAATTATCACCTCGTGTCCATAATTTCTGCACAATGGAGCCCAGGGAAGCATTTTGGCGTAAAGATGATGCAAGATTTTGTCTTTATTGCACAATGAGAGCTTAGCTATATTTTTTCCCCGAGTTGATTTTTGCCACACACAAACCTGATGAATGAAATATATCCCTATTTCCCAAAGCAACATTTAGTTTCTTGCATTCAATTGTGGCATTTAATACAGCAGGAAAGTAACTTATTCTATTCATTCTACATGTAAAACACAAGAGTAATAACGTGGTAGCAATGTACACAGACACTTTGCATTTTCTGTAAATGTGCATCAACTAAAAGCCCTTTAATATTTAAGTCGACGCACAAGACAGACTGACCAAAAACAAGACGTCACGCATGAAAAACTCAAAGTTCCTAAGCAGAAACAAATGATCCCAAAAAACATAAAAAATTTTCGTCTCTAAGTGAGCCGAATTTGTTAACCGCCTTTAAGGTTAACAATTGCATCTTCTTAGTGTTTTTGGAGTGTTTTTATTTTGACCATAAGCAGAAGACATAAAATCTCCACATTTCTGCATTAAGTTAGGTCTTTTTCAGGCTGTACAATTTTGCCACGCTCCGCGCTCGCGCCGAATTCTCCAGTAGCAGTGGGCCAGGATGTTTTACTGGCCTCTTATCTTCTTTAATGATTACCGGCCACCTTACCGCCCATTCAGGTTAATCATTTACCCACAACATCACAGCAACCTGGTAATAAACAGCACACAGACACTCAATCGACTCACCGTCCGGAGGGCTGCCATCTCCGCTACGCCAGTGATGATAAACAACTTTGTTAGTCCGTGTGGAAACAAACGCTCCAAGTCAGCTTGCGTTCCGCTTTGAAATACGAGACCTTCTTGCTCTCCCTGAACCCAGAAGCGTCAGGATACGAGCAGCGTGTGCCGACTTTGAAATATTCAGGATCTTCTATTCAACTTTTCTACCAGTTTAATAATTCAGAAAGAATTACACGTCTCAGAATAACGACACAACGATGTTAGTGTATTAAAAACCCCCAAATCAATGTAATAATTAGCTCTGCAGTTGTAGTGACCGGTTTTATTGGCCAGCAGTCTCATTCAGGAAGTCCTTGGAAGCATGAGGGAAGAGGAAAAAAAACAAAAAAACAAACAAACCTCTGATTGGGGTAGGCGAAAGCAGGTTATTATAGGTCAGAGAGGCTAGTGCTGATTGGCTAATCATAGGGGGGTGGTTCAGGTCCAGTTTCAAGGTTAGGATGCCAAAATTCTAAGCTTTAAATTTTCAACTTCAAGCACCAAACTACTTGAAATCAATTAATATAATTGCTTTCCTTATATCCAAAATTATTTAGTATTCATTTTAGTCATGTAACCAGCACATTTGCACATATCTCCACCAAAAGGACACTCAGGATTGTTAGGACTGGATCTGACTCTTGAAGCCATAGTTCAGTTCAGCTCCTCCACTGAGCAGCAGGTCAATCCCGGTGCAGAAAGTGGCCTCGGCAGCGAGATATAAAGCAGCCAGTCCACACTCAGCCTCAGTCCCCATTCGACCCATGAGCTGTTGGAGAAGAAAGTGTGTCACTTCTCAGTCCTAGACTGCATATTTCTGGGTGCACTGGGTAAATTCCTTTTGTTTTTGTGCTTCTACAGGCCTGCAGCTGTTCCAACTGTTGCTTCCTAGCTCACAAGTATTTGCCAAGAAGGAGAAGCTTTTCAAAAAACTCCTGTACGACTTCCCATGCAACCCCCCCCCCCAAAAAAAAAAAACAAAAAAAAACTGGAGATTTCATAATTTCAGCTTTCTCAACTCATGAACAGGGAAAACTACAAACCTCCTAATGCGACAGAGGCTTAACAGAGGGTCTCCTATCCTCCATTATTTAGATAACAGGCGTAATAAAAGTGTGAAAATGACAGATCCTAATTTAACAAAACATGTAGACAACAACAACACTTAAAGAACTGAAACAAACTTGTCTTTCACTCTTTTTCTATAAATGCGAAACTAAAAGGAGGTGGCTGTCTAGTTACTCCTCTTGTATTGCGTCAGCTTCAAACAGGCTTTCTTGCCTGAATCAAAGGAATCCTCTAATGGAAAAAATGCAGCCTGTTACACAAACTCGTTCAGCTGCGATCCAAGACTGAAGGCGTCGATGCTGACTGCCTGACAGAGAGATTCCAGTGTGTGGCAGTTTAGTTTTGCTTTTTCCAGTATATCCAGTGTTCCTCTTATGGGCATGTCCAAACCATCTCAGCCTTGCCTCTCAGACTTTGACTTGTCCCTCTGATGTATTCATTTCTAATAATGTCCATCCTGGTAATTCCCGGTGAAAAATCTTAGCAACTTCCACTCTCTGTCCTGTTGCACTTTCGGCTTTCAAGCTCAATCTTTCTGCCTAGCGAACCGATAAAAGTTTCCTTCCTTAGTGTCCTGCCTCACATACAACTCACTAAAAGCCTTTTCCTCCTTTGCCACCTGTGTTTGCTGTACACCTAGCCTCCAAGTACTCCTATCAGCTGTCTGCATCTTCTTGACTATCCCGCTTTTTCCTTGCCAAACTCTTTGAACACTTTCCAATACTTTCTCATTCCTCTCCCAAGTGTCCTTGTTTTCATTCCCTCATCACTTCAGCTTTCCCCATCATCTGGTAACTCCTCCCTACCAGCCAGAGCTGTCGACATTCCTCTCTGAATTCTTTACATTTTTCCTTTTTCAACTTCCACCATTTGATCCTCGTCTCTATCTCATGCTGCCTAGCTACAATCTGCCATGACACCACCTTGCAGACTCTCATCTCTGTCAGACACTTGCTCTGAAAAATATCCGCCTTCCTTCTCTCCTTCATATCAGCTAGCTCCTCACATTAAGCCCCTATCTCTGACCTCCACACTCCTGCCTTTTCCTCGCTCACGCTGCCTCCTAACACACCTTCCTCCTCTCCTCTTCCATTGTTTTCAGGCAACAGTAGCACAGTTTCCACCAGCAGCCTGCTGACAATCAGCACCAGAGGCGTTCGCTGCCCTGATCCAATGTGGAGGTTCTTGGTGATTTGATGATGGCACGGATCATTTTTATTACATTTTAATAACTTTTCATTAATGACTTTGCATAACTCAACTCTTCACTACTAACCAGCCCCCATAATCTGCACGGCTTCTGAACACCTTCCTGAACGTACCTGAGCATTTTCCCCCATTTTAATGGCGGCAGCTGCGTCTGGTGTCTGTGCTGCTAGTTGCTCCCACAGAGGTGTCATCACGTTACCCGGTGAAATGCTGCAACAAAAGCCAGACACTCCGATTAGAAAAAGAAAGGCATTATTAGATTAAAGGAAATGAAATACTTGTAGAATCTCTACAGTTTTTATATCACATCGGAATTCTTCTTTTTATTTATCAGAATCACATTTTTTATTTCACTGCGTAATTATAGTTGTTTGGTATCTTAGTCTTGTGGATTTATGAGAACAGAATGTGTAATTTTGAACTGTCTACTGTAGAAAAGCCCAAATAGTGAATCAGAGCTTATCAATGGCTACGAAATTAAGTTTAAAAAAAAAAAGGGGGGGGGGGCTGATATAAGAAAGTTGGGCTTTATGGTTTGTGGCAGTTATCACAGAAAGTCCAAATAAGAAATACAGATTATGTTTTTCTGACTTCTGCTCCTATCAACCATCTCACAACCCCTCAGACTGATACTGGGACCATTTAAAGAGGCCAACCCTTAGTTTGGGAACCATTGGATGAGACTAGTTAACTCTATATAAAGCACACAAAGGTAACTGTATTTTAATATATTAGTCACAAGCTGTCCCCTGCGATTCATTAATA